CAGACTAATGAGCTTGGCCATGACATGACTCAAAGTTCGATTGGGCCTTTGAGATAAGAGTTATAGAATGTGAGTCAGAAATCATAGCAGAACAGAGGACTGTAAACACAGCTGAGGTGCTGCCTGTATCTGGGATAGGATTGTTTTCAGGCCTGCAGGCGGAAAGAGTGGCTTGGATCACTGCAAGGACCCTTGGTCGTGTTCCAACAAAGTCAATTAAGTTACAACAGTGTGTGAAGGAGAGAGTGACTCCTTTCTAATAAGGAAGAGAGGGATCCTAGCTCTGACATAACACCCAAGCAGACAGACTCCTGGTGGTTTCTGGAGCTGCCAAAAAGAATATGTGTAAGTGGATAAACATGCCTCTGGGCACTGATACTCTTACACAAGTCACAGCAAAGCACAGCTGTTAATCAGGAGACATCAAATATTTTATTTCAAATATCACTTCAAGTCCAAGTTAAATAAACTTGCTGAAAAGTATAAAACAGCTTATTAATATTGGACATTTTTATAATGCTTTAGCCTCACTGAAATGGTATCAATCAGCTGTGGCACATGCCTCTACCATTGAACATTTTAAAAGTACCTAAACATGTTAAATGATTTGTAAGTGTACTTTAATATTGTTTGATTAATCAATGATGGACCTTGCAGTCATAAAAAGAAACAGCCCTAGTTAAAGTTTCCTAGCTATGGTTTCCTTTTGCTTTCACAGCTATACAACATTGTGCTTTCCTGTTGTGCAGTATCCATTATAGGTGTGTCCAGATTGAAATCCTAGAATTGTGGTTAACACTGTGGAAACTATAAATTGACTCGCTATTTGTTCTCCTAACCACTCTAAGGTGATGCATAACCTTAACAACCTTACAAGAGTTTAGCAAATAGCAGTCTATTATCTTAACACGACAATCTGTTAGTGTGAGTGACAACAGTTGTTTTGTGTTATATATTTCACTGAAGATAAAAGATGTCATGGCAAATATGATTCCTATTTTTTGAAATCTCTCACAGATTGTTACAGCACTGTTTATAGCTGTTAAAGTGCTGAGAGAATAGGAGTTCCAGCCTTGCTTCACTAAACATATGCTGCTCTTCACTCTCTATACACAGCTCACTTTCCTATACACACCTGCCCATTTGGAAATAAACACACTTGTGCACACATAGGCCTATGGAAATAAACAGTCATACGCTCTTTTGGAAATAAACACTTGCGCATACCAGATGCAAGAACCGACACGTAAACCTCCGAGGCCCTAACACCTTGAAATGGATACAGCATATGGAGAAGATAAACTTCATATTTTCCGACAAGGATAAACACTGAAGGAAAGGCAAAGGAGACAACATGTTTCCCAGAAACTACATCAGTTATGTCCCCTTAACATTTCAAGCAATGGCCAAACGTATGGCCATGCATGAGCTTTAAGCATTTTTTATTAAAAAAATTGCAATATTACACTTCATATGGAGAGACTTAAGATTTGATTGATATTCAATTTATTGTGAAAATCATGTTGCCATCAGCACTATCCTTATAACAACAACATGTTGATGTGGGCCAATGAATGGTTCTCAAAAAACTCAAAATGTCCAATGAGAGAATAACATGTTTTTAAGATTGAAACACAAGACTGAGAGATCACTAATCAATCAGCTGCCATAAGAAAGTACCTGCAAGTGCCATTTTAGGAACATACCAAAACAAAATGACACGACTGGAGCAAGGAAATGGATGTCAACTCAAAGCATGCGGGAGAAAAATAGTCTGCAGCGATGTCAAGTTTAAGCAATTCACGGTTAAGGATCTCAGCAATGACAAAACACTAGTAGGGTCCTTGAAACTCCGGTCTGTTTTGTGAGCCCGTCAGCTCATTAGCCTCTTATCTGAGGAAGGGCTGATACAGAGGGTCAGGATGGCCCTGACTAAAGGGAGGGGTTTTTTGTGTTGGGCTGATAGATGAGGATGTCTCCGATCCAAGGCTGAGTTCCTAAAGGGGGTCCGGGGGGCCCGCTATGACCTCAAGGAAAGAGGCAGAGAGGACTCCAAAAGGAGAAGGAGTGAAAGGGAGATGACAAGGGTGGTGCCGGCGAGATTAGTCAATGATAACATATGTGGCTGCTGCTTCCTGGCCCAAATCAACAGTCTTAAAGAGGCATAAGTATTCAAAAGACATGAGAATAAGTAGACTTGATACATTTTAATTTGGCATTCAACATATTGCAGATCAACGAGCCAAATATCTTTTAAACCTAACCCTAGCCTTATCTTTTAAAAGTAATAGACAAAGTATTTGTAAACGAGTCCAAAGAACAGTAAATGAGCAGCATGGGTTAACAGATGTCTCCAAAATCATATCAAACATTGTCTAAACTTCAAGGTCATAGCTAAGAGCTCTTTCTAATCACATTTGTCATTTTCTTTCAACCCCTGCGAGTAGATCTCTTTGAATTAAACAACAGCCTTAAAAGTGGCCTCGAGCTGAAAAATCTCCAGGGCTCAGTTGAAAGAAGCCAAAGAGAAGAAAGCTTCTTCCTCAACGTCAGTTTCTTTGACTGTCAGCTGTCAGTCAGGAAGCGTGTCTAGTGGGCAATACGAGGATCAGATGTGTACATACCACTTATCACCACCAGGCTGGAAAATAATAAGAGCCAGAAGACAGCTACCATCCCGTCCTGATCACTGCACAGACTGACCTCCCAAAAGCAGACAGCAGATAATTGCATCCCCTCACATTTGAAAGTCACATTAATGGGCTGATAATGAAGTTCTGGCTCAGGAAAAGGGGATCACTGGAGCGGACCAATGCAACAACAGATCCACCCTTTGACCAGGGAAGGAAATTGGAATCTGCTCGATTCATAGGCGAGCGTACAAAAGATTTCCCCTCCACTGGCGTGCATTGTTAATGGCGCGTTGCTTTTGAAAAGGGCTCAACTACCTGTTCCTTGTTGAATAGGGGTGCTCGACGAGAAGGCAGGTGGGCAGATAATAGGGTCCGTCGGTGATGAGACCCACGCAGCTTGAAGCAGAATGTGCTATTCATGTGCTGTCACGCATTGCGACCAGCACTGAGAAATCTGTCCCCTCTGACAAAGCAGATGCGACAAAGGTCCAGAAAATGGTCAACAAAAGTGAAAATATCAGTAAGGCCTGCGTGAGCCTTTATAAAAGACTCACAGCACTAGGGCAGAAGACAAAACTAAATGTCTTTGCCTAAAGAAGAAGGAAATGGGAAAATGGGAAATAGTTAAAAAAGCTAACAATTCAGAACGCTATACTGTAATAGAACAAGGCGATATTTGGATTGAAACAGAATCAATACTAAAAGTGACGAGGGTAAGATAGAATAAGAATGGCAACAACACAAGTCACCGAAAGGACAGTTCACCCTTGTTAGTAACACACTGTGGTCTGAACCCCACATGAGCAAGGGGAAAGAAAGTTAGGCTCTAATGCTCTGCTTGGGCCGAAGGCTTTTCTAGCATGTGTTGATTTCTCCTCCAGCAGGTGCTTGTTTGCTGGCAGACAATAACGGTTAATGAGATCCCAGAGGAAACCGACTCTGAGCAGGTCGCAGACTGTTGCAAGCACCAGAGCCTCCATAAGCCCACCATTCATGACCTTTGACCCCACCCATACCCTTATCCTTGCCACATAATCTTGTGAAAGTCAAAGCCCTCACTTGAGGGTTGATACCACACACACAGTCATGCACAGGTGGGTACATTTTTAACACACACAGAAAGATGTTGCATTTTCGATGTCACAACTCGGGACTACTGAACAAAATATATCTTACATTATATAAAAGGACAAGAGGAAAGCTTATTCGCGTGTAGGGGTTTATCATTGTTCATGTTACTCAGTACAGCACTTAAGGTATGCAGAGTGACAGTGAATACATATTTAGTGAGCAATTCACAATACTTGTCTATTAACAACTGACAAAATGAGTCTGAGTACTTTGAGAAGAAACTAAAATACACATAGAAGTCAATAAAATAAAATAAAGAAGTTACTCCATGCTTTTGCTGCCGTAGGCGTAAGTAGCGAATTGGCTGCTGCTACCAGCTTTGGAAGGCAATAGGCCTCTTACACAGAATTCATTTGAACTAGTCATAGTAGGGGAGGCACAGATGTTACTAATAACACTAACAATGGCTCTGTTCTATACAAGTGGCCCAGACATCATTAAGCTTGATTATTAACACCTGTGCTGTTTCTACTGTGACAACATTAGCCAGTTTACATCAAGAAAAACTGTAACAATATATATATATTGTATTGCATTATTTCACATTTCATATTATGTTTATAATAAAAAGGCTTGGTAAAAATATAAAATACAAAAAGAAAGAAAGAAATGTTTGCTGACATTTGTGTGATAAATTGACTGTGGTAGCCCTAATTACGCCTCATGTATGACATGAGACTACTTACATCTGTCATCATGTGCAAGTATCACGTATAAAACAGGAAGCAATTCTAAAAATATTTTCCATGCTTGTAACAAATTAACCCTGCCACTGCCGCCTGTTCCCCGAGAGGATGTATCCTCATACAACTCACACACTTAACAAATCCTTCGCTTGCCTTATTAAATCAGACAACCAGACACGTTTTGTTCAGACCCAGACCTCCTGGGGGTGAACTTCAATGGTGTGTGTGTGTGTGTGTGTGTGTGTGTGTGTGTGTGTGTGTGTGTGTGTGTGTGTGTGTGTGTGTGTGTGTGTGTGTGTGTGTGTGTGTGTGTGTGTGTGTGTTGAATTAAGCTCCTCCTATCGACTGCTTTTTTAATTAGGCCCTCATAAAGAGAAAAAAAACTTCTGATAATGTCTGGTTTTACGAAAAAAAAAAACTGTTCAAGCAAATGTGGCAAAATGCAGATTCCTCAAAATAAATTTTCTCCAAAAAGTTGAAAAGACAGATGAAGATGAACCACCTGTAAGCAAACCGACAAAGTGCTGGAAGAGAATTTGGGGGTGCTTACCTGCAACTATATATTTGTGAGCTTCAGTAGGCAGTGAAAAAAGAGAGAAAGACAAGTTAGATTTCATTTCAAAAGCACTTTAGAATTTGGAAAACACTTTAGAATATGGAAAAAGAGGAGGGTTCAAATGAAAAGATGGAATAATCTCGGATGATGACGATGATGATGACGATGATGATGACGATGATGATGATGAATATGATGATGATGAATATGATGATGATGATGATGATGATGATGCGGAGGGGACGAATGTATTGATATTCAATCTCTATGCACTTTCCCCATAAAAGGTTTCAATACATACAATATCTTCCATTTTCCTTCTACAGCATATGAATTTAAGTACAAAGTACTACATTTTTGTGGATTGTCCGACCAAACCCACCCACCTGAAACTCACACACAACACACAGGCCAGTCAACTGCTGTTTGCCCAGCTGATGGAGATTGATGGTTAGCTGTGTTGACAAGGCATATGAGAGACTCATCCATAAAAGATGGTCTGGGCCGGGCTATTTACTGGGGACTAGCACACAAACCACAGTGTTCCCTCCATTGATTATTAACCAGGCACATATTCGGTCAGTGTCCTGCATGGCCAGTAACCCAGATAATTCTGCCTTAAGATGCAATCAAGTTATATTAGCTTCAATGAAATGTCGCCAAATGTTCGCTGTTTTTTGATTGTGACATGTGTGCCAACACAGGAGGGTGATATTTGAGGATGCATTGCAACTCTGACATGTTAATCTAAGCCATGCCGTTGTAAGATATTATAGTATACTAAGCCATTGCATATGATGCTTTGATGGATTTATATAAGCTCTCTGTTCTATTAAGACTGTTTATTCTACACTTGGACAGGGATACCAAAAATGTATTAGTAACCAATGACAGTGAACGTTAACGATTCTAAATACCAATTCGATAACAGTAAAAAACCAAGAGAACAATAATGTCAATAAACGCTGTACTTCAACATGCTGTACATATGATAACCATTCCAACTTTGACATTGGATTTATTTTGTATACAGTAATAAGCTATCGGGGCTGAAAACTAAAAGACAGCAGATTTTTTATTATTACTTATTGAAACATGACAAATGAGCCTCGATGTGCTAAAAGGATTGTAGGGCAGTTGGAAGTTCATTACCACCCCATTGCTTTTTCCCCCCCAGTTGGTCAAAATGGCCTCCATCCAGGCGTGAGCTGGTTTCATTACAAATTCATTCACCAACCTCCCCAATATAAGTCAACTACAAAAAAATCCAGTAATTGTTCAGCACAAAAACCTCACACCCTGACAAAACAGGTGTTTGGATGGGTTTTGTCCCGGGGCGGGTATTAGCCCAGTTTCAGCTCACCTCCTCTGTTTCACCCTTTTGCATTTCTCCCGACCTGCTTTCTCTGCTCTCGTCTTGATCCTCATTATTCCACACTGGGGTCTTTGGGGGAGCAAATGGTCTATTATCCAAAGATGGAGCTTAAGACAACTTAAAGCTCTGGAGGAGTGGCTATTTATTTGGGTTGAAAGACAGAGAGAGTAGGAGGGAGTGTGTGTCTGGCCTGGCGTTCCCATATCACTTAGGCTAATGTGATTAAGGGTGAGGGAAAGGGGGCGTTCATTTAGCTTAGAGTGTGTTGATTCTAAGTGATTCATGTCAGGGAGAGTTGAGGGGGGAGGGATCTGGTCGGTCACAGGACTTCCTGAAACACACACATGTGTGCATGAGCAAATAAGAATGAAGGTGTGTGTGTGAGCTCGTTTTCAGTGCCTGGCACCAAAATAAGTACAATGTGCACTAATGCCCCGGCCATACGAGAACGAAAACGGCTAAACCCATAGGATTAACGAAAACGCAATCGCAAACAGGCTTCCGTCCACACGCAATAGTCATCCGGATAGTGTCTGTCCACACGAGACCGTTCCGTTTAGCTCCAACCGCTGGAGAAGCTGCAGTACATATGCAGGAGCCTGTACGTGGCGCTGTAACTTCCTCCACAAAAGCAGCGAAGACGCATGGTTGTCATGGTTGCCCTTCTGTTTATTCTCCGTGGTGGGGGCCGAGGGAACCGGGCAGAGTTTTTCGCCAGTCAACGTGTATTAAAGTTTAAATCTTCCGACAAAATTATAAAAGTGCCGGTCAAAGGTCTTCTTTGTTATTTATTGAGCTTTAAAACAAATGAATAACGACTCTATATAATATAATAATAAAAATACACGGAGCCTCTCTTTTTCCACCCTCTCTTTGGACAGCGCCAGTGAGTGTCTCATGCAGCAGCTGATCCAGTAATGAGTGACCCGGTCGACAGTAAAAATAAACATATTTATAACTAGTTTAGGTAGTTTGAGAGGTGTCTCCGTCCTGTCAGATTAGACTTCACTCGCGTTTATGTCCATATCGAGAGAAAGATAAATAATCTGAATTCAGTGGGCTATTGCGCAATCATTATCAGAAAATGATCGTATAGGGCGTACACACAGAGCTGTTGGACCCCCCAGAGCGTTGCGTATGCCGTTCTATCCACCTTGGGACCCGTTATCGTTTCCGCAGTCGTTTAGTGCCGTATTCTGTCGTCCTCGTGTGGCCGAACGGTCTATATGACACTAAACAGTAACGCAAACGACCGTTTTCGTCCTCGTGTGGCCGGGGCATAAGGCTCATTTATCCCCCCACAAGGTCCGAAAAGAACAGAATTAATTTCATTTCACCCCACTGAAGTTATTTTGGGATTAGGACTGGATTAAAAAATGTCAGGATGTTGCTGTCGTCTCTATCCATGATCTCATCTAAATGAACATTTCTTTAATGACTTTAATGGAAGCGTACATTTGTTTTGATGGATTTTTTTTCACTTTTTGACCAGGACATCAAGAATTTGTCCTTTATACAATTGTTCAATATCTGTTCTTTAGTGACTGTGAAGACCAACAATAATCTGTGTATGCTAGTGTAAACTAATTTGTGGGCTTCTAGTCTCTGTAAGGTTAAATTATATCAAAAGCAGTTCCAAACTAAAAACTGTGTGTGTGTGTGTGTGTGTGTGTGTGTGTGTGTGTGTGTGTGTGTGTGTGTGTGTGTGTGTGTGTGTGTGTGTGTGTGTGTGTGTGTGTGTGTGTGTGTGTGTGTGTGTGTGTGTGTGTGTGTGTGTGTGTGTGTGTGTGTGTGTGTGCATAAATGTGTGAGCAGGGCCTCAAACATGGCAGATGGACCCATTGGAGTCTGAATTGCTTTTTGCATGTTACCTCCCACACACACTTTATACGGACAGACACAGCATGTCAATGGCACTTCAAACTAAGCTCTCAAACGGCAAAAGCTTGTCCAAAATTGGATGAATACATTCAAAGAAAAAGATAGGGCCTGAAAACAAAGCAAGCCTTAAATGTTGCCACACACCGTACATGATGCTCCTAATGCTGTTAACTGTAAAGAGCAACACACGAGAAAAGTCCTGATAAAATGTGTGTGTTTGTAACAAGGGAAGGTTGCTTGGTTTGCATCTCAGTTGTATATTGACTGCAAAGAGCCCCCCCTCCTCATGAATACTGTCCCCAAACAAGGAAGGATTTTACAGACAGGAAGAAAAATCAAATGTGTCATCCCCCCACTCCACCCCCCCCCCCACACCTCCCCCCTCCCCTTTCTAAGTCTATTGTACACTTTCAAATGCCTCCCTGTGTTTTCACAAGGATCAGGCTTTAAGGGGAAGATTCAGTATTTTCAGAACAGGGGGAAGTCAGCTTGTCAATGTGATGATAAACCTGCCTCCAATAGCTGAGTGTGGCTGTGTGCTGGGCACAAAACCATCTTGTTTTTTTCTGGGTACAAAATCTAAATCTTTACAATGTAAAATACTTTTCCACATCATCAGCCAGAACAAAAGCAGTCTTTTTAGATCCCTGATTCAAGAAGTATGTATGGGAGCTTTAGAGAACATATGCGAGTGTGGACTGGAGAGTATTTAGGTCATCCTCATACAGGGCCAAGAACTGGGAAAAGGGGGAGAATTGTAAGGGACTTCGACAAACTACTGCATTTTCTCACACACGGAACACCACGGGTTGTAAAAAGTCCTATCAGTTTCCAGCTGTGAGGTGTATACAACCCTTTCACTGTCCCCTCCTTTTCTCCACCACTTGAATAAATAGCGGCTGAGAAATGGGCCAGAGAGTAAGACAAGAAAAAGGACAGAAGATCCTTTTGGTACTTGTTTACCTCGTGCAACACATCCTTCATGTCACCCCAATTTACGTGGCCTAAACAACTGCTGCCCCGGAGAAAGATCTTGCTTGATTGGAGTTGGGCTTGGGTTTCTCATGCTAGAACCATTTGGTGTTTGAATATGCTATGAGATTGGGACAATTAGGAATTGGTAAAGGCTAACTTAATCAAAGAGCACATCAGTAAATACATTTCAAAATGAGTCATTTGCAAAGGCAACCGAGTGCCATAATGGCTGTTTAAAAGAGAAGATGGAAATGCAAAGAAGGTTTTCTTTCACTCAAGCAGAATCTTTTCACAAAAGCGTAATTTCACGCAACGCAAATCTGCACTCCACTATGGGCCTGCCTTGATTAATTTAGTGTGAGGGAAGAGATTAAACCCCACAGCAGACATCAAGATAGACAGCAAGGACAGATCACATTGAAAAACCACTGCTGTAAAGAAAATAAATTCAGTGCTAGATGAGGGGGATATTTGCCATTTGTTTTGTTCAGTCAAATATTCACTGTCTAGCTTAAATGTCCATTCAGATTCTTTAAATTACCTTTACATTATGGTGTAAGGAGTACTAAGAGAGTATGTTATGAAATTCACAGAAGCTTTGACTTTCTAGACGCCTCAAAGTCCAGTCCATTCGAGTGCTATCCTTATTTTGACAACAGTGTCATAGACCTTTCCTCCCACTCCTAGTCTATGTCTGTCTCCCTGCAGGCCGTGCAACAGTCTACTGCTTCGCCAGTGTTGAAAAGTCAAAGCTGGGAGCTGCTATTTTATGAAGGGGCTCCGT